GGGAACTCAACCCATTTCCAGGGAAGCCCTCTCATGGTCCATGGGGATACAGCTGTCAGTCCTCCCAGCCACTGTGACTCTATACTGGCCCCTCTGCTCTCTCCTCACCCACGACCAAGGACCCTGCACTCCCCGCTCCCACCCTAGGTACCTTGCTATAGGGCTGGCTGCAAACAATTTTGACTCGGTCCCAGCGCTTCTCAGCTGCTCCCCGGACCAACTTCTCAGGCCCAAAAAGGCGAACACGGTTGGGGTTGGAGCCACTTCGGCTCTCAGAAGGGGACATGAAAGACGAGGTGACCAGAAGGACCTGGGAGAGGGCACAATAAATGAGGCTGGCTCCTTTAAATGATGCATCCTAGGGGCTGGGAAGAGGGCAGGGGGCCTGAGAAAAAGCTAGGGAGTCACCAGATCCAGCTCATGCCCTGACCTGCCTCAAGGTCTCTAGACTCTTCTCTTGTTTCTGGGCCTCCGGTCAGTCCTTCCCTGACACAGGTCCCAGAGGAAGCCTTCTGTGTACAGATCTGAATGATCCCTCTTAAATTCTTGCACAGAGCCTTCCATATCTGGCCATATGGCGGGGCCGCGCGACCTAAGGAACGAACCCTCCCAGCAGAGAAGATTCACGATGACTGGCACAGCATTCAAGCACCTTTTGGAAATGCAAGGCTGGGTCAGTGGAAAGGCGAGCAGAGTTATCAGAGGCCAGAAATGAGAGAGCTGTGCCAGCAGGGGGAGCTAGAGACAGGCTGCAAGACTGGAGGAGGGAGGAGGATCTGCTCCTTGTAGATCCTGTGAGCATCACTCCCCTCCCCGCCACCCTCCCCCACCCCCACACCTCTGCTTCTGCAAGTGCTCCTTCCCAGGGCAGCAGAACCCGCCTCATCCAGCCCCTCCCAGGGTCTGAGTTTCAGCTCTATGGAATCCAACCTCCAACATCTATGTTTCAATCATTCCTACCTTTTCCTTTTGTTCCCCAACCCTAGGGGGAGCAAAAGGCAGCAGCAGCTCCCTGCACTTGCTTCTTCATCATTCCTTAGTCTTCTTGCCTCATCAGTTACTAATTCCCTCTGTTAAAATAACTGGTGTGGTTTCAGTCTCCTGGTAGGACCCTGACTGATCAGTGGGTGGCACTGATGTGGTCTTTGTCCTAGTGCTGACCCTGGGTGGCACACAGAGCTTGATTTTAAAGG